GACGACTCTGGTGCACCCAACAACAAAGCTGGATACAGGAGTTGCACAATGTCATCTTTTCAGACGAGTCCCAGTTCTGCATGCAGCATTCTGATGGCCGTATACGTGTCTGAAGGCTCTGAGCGGACCGCTCGTCACCTGCTTGCATTTGATATTGGCTTAGGGGCCCTGCACCTGGTGTGATGATATGGGAAGCCATTGCGTACATGACAAGCACATCTCTAGTTCGGATTGATGGTAATTTGAACGCAAATCGGTATATTTCTGACATCTTACATCCAGTGATTGTGCCCTATCTTCGAGGCCTGCATTATGGCAAGGACCTGCTCTTTATTGGCCCGCTGTCACTAAGCTTCGTCAATCACGTTAATTCTTGACAGTTGTAGGCTTGTAGCTGACAGACAAGAGCGTCATGGCAGTACTGTATGTGATAAATGATATCAAATGTGGATAACAATGAAATGACCTACACGTGTAAATAACGGAAAAAGAAGAGAGAAGGACCGCGAATTGCAAATGTGAAAATAAATATGAAATTGAGTTGATAACATAATCGAACAAGTGGAGGCAGCTTATTGGCGCGAAATTCGCGGCCGTCAATGTCAAACAATTGTTGTCATAGACTTCCGAAAGCTAAATGCTTGTAATGAAAGTAACTTAGTGTGCACGGGCGAAAGCCTGGGACCGTTCGGGCTACCAAGCTGTCTCGAATCTGTGAAATCATAACTGTGACTTATACCGTCATCCTATCTGTCTCTTTTCTCCATTATCACCATGCTATGAGTCACGTAATTGTAAAATTGGAAATCTACGACGGAAAAGTGACGAATCGAAAGTATCGTGAGCGCGTATTATGATGTATGCATAGGCATATGTGGACTAGAGCGATAGAGGAAAGAGAAAGGGAAGAGCGCTTAAAAAGGAGGATAGGCTGGTTCAGACCTCAGATGTGCGACGATTCTCGAACGAATAAGTGTATACGTCTGCTGATCTTTGTAATTATAAATTGCGAATACATGTGACTAATATTATTTTTTTTTTATTTTGTGCATGTTATAAGTTATAAATAAATATAAACAAACAACACTAACCCGATAACATTAAATATCAATACCAAAATGATTAATTTACTGTGTTTTTGTTATTTCTTACTCCTGTTTTTAGGTATTCGGTATTCGGCCGAATAGCGAAAAATAGGCCGAATACCGAATAGTAACCGAATATTCGTTACATCACTAGTCTTTATACATGACACTGATGTGGTCGAACGGATTCAATAAACTCCTCTATTTCATTTATTTTCTTCTTTTTCGAGACCGTCACAATTGTAGAGTTAACACCTCACTGAGCACCCAAAAATTTGGGTACCACTGGTGTAGAGTGTAACGTAATGCTTTGAACCATACCATTCTAAATAAACATGTAAATCCTGAATTTTCTTCGTTGTTTTGTATCGTTGTCAAATTTGTTTTAGTCGCAGACATTTACCTAATATTTTATTTGTAGTTTGTAAATTTTGAATTTTCCATAATACGACTATATACGATCAATATGTAAATAATTAAGAATTACCGATGGCAATGCACGTTACGGATATACATAAATATTAAAATGTAATTTTATTTGTAGTGATTTTAAATTGCAATTTTATTACATAAATTTATTATATAATTTACAGACACTAGGCTATACATAAGAGTAACACAGCCCGAAATATATTATAAAAAAAATTGCCTTATATTATACCTCAATTCATTTTTAAGAATTTTGTAAATTATGTTTAATTAATAAAGAATTGCTCTAGAAGTTTGTCATATTTTCTAAGTCGGAAAGAGGAAGATTAATACTGCATTTGTAAATTTTTTCAAATGTATACCTACGTTGATCCATTTTTATTTTCACTCATATCTGCCATATTTGTACGGTACTTGAAATAAAAACAAATATAATAATTTTTATACATAGGATTTTAACAAACATGAATGATAATTTTCATATTTTTGAGGAATTTTTAAGGCGTTTCCATAATATGTTTTAATAATTTAACATTATCATATATTATTTTCTGGACTAATAATTTTGTAGTTATGTTGCATTTGTAATTAATACATCTTTTGAAGAACATCGATATTATCCATATAAAGTTATTAATGATAAAAATATCGATTAATGATTAACGTGTCGATTTCTAATTTACATGCAAAAATAATAAGCACAAAATGTTAACGTTCGAGTAGGTCTACTTGGATATTAAATTTTTTTGGAGGAGGGAAGTGTACGCGTTTTGATGTTCTCTTGATGTCCAAATTGTTGGAGACAAGGAAACGTCAAGCGTAGACAGTTTAATATGATTGATAGAGTTGCTTACGTATTAATTTTGATGAATTATTTGAGAACGTAACACAATTCTATTTTGAAGATAAGTTGTAATTGAAATATTGCATAATGTAATATTTTATATAATCATTTCTTTTTGTTTAAATCAAAATTTTTAACGCATTCGTATCTTTAATATGCCGCACTGTGATTTTATTATTTTACAATGTATTATGAATTTGTTGTTTTTCAATACAATTTTATAAATTTAATATATTTTAGTGTTCTATCTTGTATAACTCAGTTATTAAAAATTAGAAAGTATTTGAATGGTATAAAATTAAAAATTTATTAACTTATTTTTCCTTATAAAATATACAAGAAAACATATATTTTAAAACGAAAATTAATTCACATAATAATTTTTAAATAAATCGGTTAAGGAAAATACTTTCGTAGTTTACGCTTTCAGAAAGAGATGGCACCACTTGGTACAGATGATGGTATTTTCTGTCGAATTTTGTTTAATATTTGATAAGCTGAATTTATTATAGAAAATACATATTGATTGTTCACAAGGCACGGATCAATAATTTTGTTGTTATGTCAATAGTGCAGAAGACAAACATTGTTTTCATCTAATGGATTACCGTCTCTACTAAATAAATATTTTCTTTTAAAAAAAGATTTAATTGACTCGATCGAATCGCCGTTAGATGATATATGTTTCGCTTAATTTATTCGCGTATTTCAAGGCTGATTTACAGATTTATTACGTGCTGCGTTTAAGCATTTGATCATTTACAAGAGAAATTTCTCTGAGTTTTAATACCAGTTTTATTGTTTAATTTAGGAAGTTTACATCTTTTCTCGAGTTTAGTTCGACAATTTTTTAAAAATAAATATAAAAAATTTGATCACGGTTACGTATTATAGTTTCATAAAATTGCGTTACAAAATGAAGTTATCGACAGTAAAAACAGTTGATCGATAAGATATAAATTAAGAGGAAAATTAATTAGCGAAACAACGTTAATGCTATAATATAATTATTTGTTAGCGAGATAAGCAAAGTGAATGTAGTAATAAGCCACAATCTAACTACAATGGCTTTTGTGTTGTATTCTCGGTTCACTCTCCAAATCTTTTTATATATGAATACACAGACTGATCTGTATACGTATGTATAGAAATGAAATAGTCGATCAACAGAGAACAGATAGACATTTTATACTTCTTTTAACAAAATTAGCTCAGTGAACTCTCTATATTCTTTGTTTTTTTTTCTTCTTTTAAATTAAATAACAGACATAAAGCGGTTGTTCAAACTGACAGAAAGAAGCAAAAAATACAAGGCAAAGGCGGCCTGACTGTCATTCGCAGATTATTGAAATATATTGTCAATAAACGAGAATTCGTGATTTGTAATATTTCGGCGAAGACCAAGTTGTAATTGATGTGATCCATTAAGATACTGCCTGCAGCGACAAAATGAAGTCTGAATCGAATATAAACTAAGAAATGGTAATGCACTGCTTTTCCGTTCTCCACATGTAATTAAAGTAGATGATCTCTCGAAATATGAACTTGAATAACAATTGCAAATGCTATCTATCCATTCATGTATTTAATGCGAATATAATCTACTAATTACTAGATATTAAAAAGTATTTTTAGGAATGGTGTTGATCAATAAAAATATTACAGAAATTTCGGGCGTTAACCTACCACTCCCTTTATCTGTCGTCTAACAGAATTTTCTTGCAGTTATTTTATATTCGATTATAATAATTTCTTTTACAGAGCATTTTTTATTAATGTTTTACTGAGAAAAATCGATGTCGATGTCTGTTTTGTATGCTGTATAAGAAAATCAGCTTAAACCCAAAATTAGATTGATAAAGTCGTATTACTGTTTATGAGAACGAAAATAAATCACGTAGGGGAAGGAAAATTGCACTTACCTGGAGTTTGCAAAAAAAAAAGAAAGAAAAAAGTATCGATTGAATTCTAGTGTTTTATGGGCATAATAGCTATTATAGTGTGTTTTAAATCATTTTAATAAGAACTCATTGGATTATAAATTATGATAGACTGGTTAGAGATAATGAGGTAGTAGTAGTTTTATCTGTGTTCGGTATTTATAAAGATAAATAGTTATGGGGTTCGATATATTTTGAAGATATACTTAGAATTTGGATTTAATTATTCATTATCGATACTGCCAAAATTAATATTTAATTATTTACAGAGAAACATCGAATCGTATATTCGTTAAACAAATAAATATATATTTCCCGATTTTTGTAAATGGAAAAAATGGCAGAGTAAATGTTTAGAAATCATTTCGTTAGTGAAGTTAATTTTTTTAGGATTTGTTAATTATTCAGTTAAATAAATAAATTTTCTTGTGTGATCAAATTTTGAAATTATGGGAAAAATGTGATTTTATTAAGAATTTTTAGGATTATTAATATTTAAGTGTAATTTAATGAGTTGTTTGTTTTGTAATAAAGAAATGACTTTCTTTAGTAGACAATACATACAAGATGTGCCTTTTATACAATTTGTCTTTTCTCACACAGATGAGGGATAAGGCAATTAGAGTTGTTTGTTAAATCTTTAATCTTTCTATTGTATTTTAAAGCATTTAGACATTTTTTAAGAGTGAATTTTTTTCTTAGGATGGCCGATTACGTAGTGGCGATCACATTTTACAAATAGGAGATGTTAACTTGCGTCGAATGGGTTCCGAAGAAGTAGCCACCGTTCTGAGACAGTCGGGAAGTCATGTCAGAATTATTGTAGCTAGACCAGTTGATCCAACTTCTCCCGATTACAACGCATTACATAGCAATGCTCCCATAGTGCCAACTAGAATATTAGCCGATCCGGAAGAAGTGGAACGCCACTTAACTATGTTCCAGCAAGCTCATAATGGATTTGGAGAAAATGTACCCGATTATATCAGGTCATCAGACCTGTCTCATATCAATCACATCAAAGACAATGTAAGAGAAGAGGTAAGTATTATGCAGTCGAGAAAGACTTTTTGTTGTTTGGGGATGGAGAAAGTGAGCTCTGATAATGGAATTTTATGCGAATAAGATTACTTGGCCTAAGGTGAGTACATACACCTGTATACATCATCTTCTGGCTGAAGTCTTTTATTAAAAAAATACTAAATTTAAAATTTATTAATTTTGGGAAGAGTATTTACTTCTATTTTAATAAAAGTAATATATAAATGGCTTTCATAGATTTTTATTTAGATCATATTTAATTATGTCCTGAAGTATATCTCGACTTATAACTAATTGTTTGTTAATATTTTTTATTAAATTGATATTGAGTGAAGTTCGAGATTATATTTTTCTCATCCATAACTTTCTTACGTAAAGTTTTTGGAGGAGAATTTGTATAAGATTCTAAGATCTCTGAGAAAAATGAAAACGTAAATATTTTATAAATCCTTATAAATAACGTAAAGTTTTTTACGTAAAATATTAGCTTTTAAAGAGATCTTAATAACATTTTATGATTTTAATTATAGATTTAAATTGTTGAATACATCGTTTAAAAGTAGTTTCATCAAAAAAAAATAATAAATAAAAAAAACGTAAAAATAATTAAATTTTTCTTTGATTTAATAATTTTTTTTTTAAAATATTTTCGAGTACTTTTTTTCGTTCGTCATCAGAATATTAAGAGTTGTAAATGAATTTCTTTTAGTTTAAACAGGTATTAAAATTTGCATTCGTGGGAAAATTAATGTAATTTTGAAGGTTCTGTTGCTGTGTCTTAATGATAAGTGCCTAAGCACTCTAAACGTTAAAAAAAAAATCAATTTCTTTATAGTAGCCGAGCTTCTAATATGTTTTTATATTAAAAAAATTGCATAATTTAACTTTTTAGCGTTTACCTAATTTCACAAATTTTTATTAGACATTCAGAATAATTGTGTTATATATGTATGTAGTGCATATATAAATGTGTTTTAAAATACCAGATAAACTTACGAGCATTTTCATTATGATAAGCGGAAAAATATGTAATAATTAAAATTTTTATTCTTGTTTTTCGATTATCATAAAGATAATTTATCAGATAATTAAAGAATTATTATAAAATATATGAATTTTGTACAATTTAATGCAAAAATTATACGCATGTTATTACTAAATCTAACGTTTTAAAGTATAGTTTAGTATTATTTAATTAAAGTAGGCCTAAATGTTATTATTTTTGTATGAAAAATGAAAATAATTGATCTTATTTAGAACGAAATTTGAAATATTATATTAAATTTCTAAGTAAATAAATATCTGTATGTATATGTAATTTTTGATTAATGAAAGATTGAAATTAATTTTAGAATTCAACTAATTATGTGTGATTAAGTAAAGTATTAGGTATTTTAAAATTTAAAAAGACCTATTTAATTTCCCATTAAATTTAATTGAAGTATACATGGTAAGATAAACAAATATAAATGGTTAAATATTGATCCCTTAATCTTTTAGGTATATAATGTATAATACTTAAAACATTTTTCTCTTATCATAAATTTGCATAACTTATAAAAGCCTAATTACCATATTTATCTAAATATTATTCGACTTCAAAGACACATGCATTAAATTTTTTTAAACAAATAAAAAAAAATCAGTAATTTACTAACCGATTCAAATAATACACCGAATCTATCATTATCAAAACAAAAACAAGATGTACTTATAATTAGAAGTAGTACATTTAAATGAAACAGTATAAACTAATTATTATAACATGGAAAAAACCTGTGGGAATTGAATCAAAAGTATGTTAACAAATGATGATACTATGTGAAATTAAAATACTTTTTGACCTTTCGATCATCATATATTTAAGCTAGATAAACATCACGCATTTCCAATAATAATAATATAAATTGCAATGATTTTAAAATAATTATTGAACGGATGAATTGTAACGGAAGGATTATAACTTGACAACAACATAATTTGACATTTCTCTAGCAGGGAACTGAGTTGCACAGGGGGAAAAATTCTTGAAAAATATTATAATATATTCAGTCTTATATAACCGCAAAGCCAAGAGGAGAATTATAAATAATATAGATGCGATAATGTTGTTAATTACGATTGAAGCGAAATTATTTCAGAATTAGTACGTAAAATAATAGCTAAGCATTATTATTAAAATGAATTTTTAATACTAATTTCAAAAATTATCTTAAAAAATTAATAAGGCAATTTACAAAACTTATTTTTGCAAAGAAACATTTACAAAAAAAAAATACTTTGGTTTACTTGTTACAGTTATTTATTTTTATGATAGAACTTTAAAATTTTTAGTAGCATTTATCTGTTTTCGCTGCAGAAAGACAATAATCAGAGAAATGAATGTAGGAAGATGCCAGTGATTTTTAAATTCGATCATCATTAAATAGTCATCGGATATTAATTAGTTCTTTATCAGACGAATAAGATTATAAAAAATTTTTTTTAATTTCCTTTGTAATATAAAAAAAACTTCTTTGATATACAGCGAAAACGATTTTTATAATGTTAATCGTTTTAAAAAAAATGCTAATGATTTTGAACAATCGTTTTCATTTGTCAACTGCGCTGATTACTAATATTTTCAAAAAGAAAAAAATTCAGTTTTTAGTATTGTAAACTCTCGAAAGATTCTGTAATCTGTTTTTAGAATGCATTAGACAGAAAGAAAAAAAATATTTTAGTGCAGAATTGTGTCAGATGCAGTCTTAAATATTTATAGACGCTAGTGACTTAAATTCACACCTCATCATTTATTGACCGATAGTTTTAAATAAAAATTTATTTTTACATACAGAAGCAGTACAATCTAATGTATGTTTATGATATAGTTTTTTACGGTTATACATAATTAGACTTAAATTATTCAAGGTTATAATATTCGGAAAATTATGCGTGAAAACTATGTTGTTTACGAACTGAGAATATATATATTTGAATTTAATTTTATACTCTTAATCTAAAATGAGCGTTGAGGTTTGGTAAAATATGATTTATTTAATGTTGATGCTTTTAAATTATTTGCCTGATTAAATTCTAAAAGATGATTTAAGTTTTATGAAATGTGCTTGTGCTTACGTATCTAATTAGTAATTTTGTTGTAAATATGTAAACATATTATATATATATAAATTGTAGTAGTAATTGTTTTAATTATGAAAATGCATTGTAAAACGAATTCTACTTGAGGATATTATTTCACTACTATTCAGCTACAGTGAAGTCTTCTCGGAATGATGTACATTTTTTTTATGTGACTTTTAAAAGTATTTAATGCAGTCGTTACTGGAGTTAATTTTTTTTTTAACTTTCCTGACATAAGATAGTTTATCAGAATTTTGACTGTTCCCGAATGCTTATCTTAAGTATTTTTCCTGAAGTCATTTATCTAAAAATTAACCGGTAAGCAAAAATATTTTAAAAAAGTATCCTGACGCTGAAGTATTGAAATTTGTAGATTATATCTGGAAGTGCTGAGTTAACTACGGACAGGAGTATCGGATCGAAAGAGAATTGCCAGGAAAAAAACGAGGTCAAGTTCTAGAGAATTACATAGAATATTAGCCTAATTGGGTTTTAGTCTTAATGATTAATGATCAGTAGGACCCTCTGGTGAAACTTAAGCACAAATTTACTCCAATTAAATACTTTTCTAGTTTTATCTTTGCCTATTATTAAAAATAAATTGATATATAAAGCATATCTTGGATTTATTATTATTATTATTATGTATCAATATTAATCTATAAGAACTGAGCTTATATATATAATAGAAATTTCTTTTAAATATACATTTAAGAATTAGGTTGTAACAAATTTTATTGAAAAGTAAAATTGAATTGTATAGGTCTATATGTATACAGTATATATTTAGATTCCAGATACACGTTGGATAATTGATAACTACGAAAGCCGAATAAAAATATTTTTATCAGTATTAATTTAATTGATTTCAACTAGATTTTTATAGAAGGATTAAATTTAATCATTTTTAAAGCCAATTAATTGCTTAAAAAGGAAGCTGCAAAATTTCATATTGTACTTGATGAAATTGTGAGTTTGTGGTATCACGAATCTTAAGAATTGTATTTATATTCAATTTAAATAATTTTAAGGCTTTTCGACAATACGAATATTTCGGTAATCGACTACATTCTTGTGGTTTAACGTATCAAAATAGTCACAGCACTAGTACATGAGTGAATAAAGTTACCAACTGCGCAATTTTATATAAAAGATATTCCAAAATAATTAAATCTGTACGATAGTTTATGGCACCACTATTTTTACATCAGTAAAAATAGATGAATTTTCATATTCAAATTGTATATGCTTCAACGTATGTGCCCTAAATGAGGATAGTTTTATCGTGAATAATTACGATAGTTTTTGGATTTGTAGCTAATATGAGGATATTCCCTAAGTTTATGAATAAAAATTATATTTTGCAAATTATAATAAAAATTTTAAAATTAATGGCATTGATTCTTTTTTTTATTGATGAAATGATTGCTATTCTGTGGAGAGTTCGCGACCTATTTAAGATGAATAATTGCTTTCAGCTATTTGAATTCGCTTGAGTGAAAATTACCATGATGTGTATACTGGATATTAGTGTGATTTTGGTAATTATGAAAGATTAAGATTGTTTGAAAAATTCAATAAATAAATTACTCTTTATTCGTATGTATATAGGCCTACATAGTGATCTTTGTAAATGCAATTGATATCTTTTGTTCACTCATACACAAATACTGTTTCTAACTAGATAAATAGAACACATTGCAGAATTAATGTTTGTTCAAAACATTCATGCTCGCTTTCTCATATTGATGACGATTTACCTTATGAAACGTTAAACATTTTGTCGTTCTTTACATTTTTTATTACTTGAATTAATTTATTTATATTGTAGTTCTTTTATAAGTAAATGTTTGCATGCAAGTCACTAGTATTTTGTTTACAAATGCTAAAATTATTTACAATGATTTCAAGGTTTGTGGGGTTACTGTATATATCAATGATTTCAGTTGCATTTTTATACTAATCAAAGACTGAATAACTATTTGCTTATAAACTTTTTAACAACTTAAATTTTATAAATATAAAAATAAATTGGATTAGTTGACTAATTATTTAAAATTTTTTTCTCAATTAAAATAGTACACTTTTTATAACAATAATTAAACAAAAGATAAACAAAATAGGTATTGATAGAAGAATTAATTCTTCAGAAATATTAAAATTTCAATTGTTACAGATATTTTTTGAAACTGTGTTTCGTAATTATTATTATATCAAGTGAAAAGATTTTCTTTATGACTATTTTAAAAATATGTTGTTTCTTTTTAAATTTAAACAAATTATAAACAAAGATTAGTTACACACATCAATAAAGTATTTTATTGAAGTTTATTTTTCTAGTAATATTGATAAAGAAATAATCACACCAACAACAGCGATGTTTTATTCGAAATAATTTTATTTGATAGACCATCTTCTGGATATTGAACTACTCTAAATCTCTATCCTATTATAATTCCCATATTCTGAAGATGTTCAATCAAATAGAATGATTTTGAATAGAACATCGCTGTTCATAGTGAGACTATTTCTTCAGCAGTTAAAAAACAGAACGTTTGTATTAAAATTCAAAATTGTTAGTTTTTGGGCTGCAATTTGAAAAAGCTGTAGAGCTATAAATTCCCACTGTCGTTCGTCCGTCCGTCTCTTTCCTTAATCTCGAGAACAGAGTTAGATAGATGAAATCCGATAACAGATATGGATATCTTAGGGGACAGGAGGCTCCGATTAACTATATACGAACTTCCGTTGCAAACCGGAGGTCACGTTATTTCAATTTAAAACTTTCCCCTAAAAGCAGTTAATAGACGACCAGCACGATAATATTGTTAAAGGAAAAGTATGATGTACAGGGGCAAAACACTACAGTACTAATTTTAGATGGAGAACATATATTTTAAATTAAATAAATTAAAAATAAGATTAAAAATTGCATCCCGGAATTGGGACGATGTCACAATAAATAATTGCTCGTTAAGATTTATTTTCTCAAATTTCGCAACTAACAACAACCTTCAAACGGATTATGAAATTGTATCTGTTCATAAGTTACAAAAATTAGTGCAGTAGCAAGTCAGCAAACCTGTCCAAAACGGAACCTGAATACAACGGAATTCTGCCAAACCGGAAAAAATATTCGGTACCGTGCGATTCCGTTTTACACAAATTTTACTGTAATATAAAATCGAAATACTTCGGTAAGTTGGGAAATATTTAAATAGCGATAAATATACCGGAAATTAATTTATTCGCGTTTTATTCGAAGAAGAATCGAAATACGATATATACACAGATGATGAATTTTACGTAGTTTCAAATTATCAATTTAATGAAGATTTTATGGAGGTCATCCAATTTTAAATTGCTGGAAAGGCTTCCTGCAATCTAAAATTAAGTATTTAACAAATGTAATAAAGAATTACCACAGTTGTTGTGCTTATATATGTACATAAGCACAATATTTAATTATAAAATTTACTTATATATAGTAAATATAAAATTGTATAATATTTTCAAATCATCCTTCTTAGTTTACATTAACGAGGATTTTAAATTAAACATTTAGCAATCGATATCGTAATTAAAAATTTATACAGTAATTTTGTATAGTTAAGATTTTAGGAGTAACTACCTTGATTGAAACTGCCCTCAATAAAAATAAGTATTGGATAGATGAATGACAATATATAACTTTATGTGTTTGACTTATACCCATTTAAAATTCTGTTCATACTGTTCGCCTTTTAAGTTATGCTGAATTGTTTTGATAACGTCAATACATCACGAAAGGAATTTCATCCTCAATTCACCAGGCGAGTTAGTCTTCTAGGTATTATGCATAATGTTTATCAAACTATATACGATTATTCCGGATTAATATCAATAAAAGTTGTTTCTGTTATATAACTATATCGAGGATCACACTATTACAATTTAATTTTAGGCATGTATTGTTGAAATTACTGCATATCTCTGGTGGAATCTTAATCATGTGTTTTCTTTCGTTGAAACTTCTGATGATTAATTTATATTTTTATTACGCTAGACCCGGATTCAGGTAATCGTTATTTTCACTTTATTTAATTGTCGATTAGAATTTAAAATTTAATATAGAATTGAAATTTAGTAGTGATAAGTACTACTTTATACCGAAATAAAATTTGTTAAATTTGTAACGACTATTTGTATTTTTATTTAAAAAAAAAGTTTACGGAATTCAAAGCACACACGTAATATAAATGGAAGAGGACGTCTGAAAAGAATCAAATTATGGTATTTTTTTCAGATTTTCTCTTGTATTTTATTATTTATTTATTTTTTTATAAAGGAAAAGGAGTTTATATTTAGCTTTTAATTTCAATCGTTCGTTGGAATTTTGTAAAAAGTATCATTTGAGTCGATTTTAAAATTTCATTTTGATTCTCTTCGTATTTTTTAAAAATTTATTATTTATTACGTACTTACATACTTACAGTATATTGAAAATCTACAAGTGAATCACTTCATCTGAGAATTTCTTTCTATTCATTGGAGAAAATGGGTATTTTTTTTTATTTGTAGTGGAGCTATTGACATAGTTCTTTGAGTGGTTGACTTGACTTGAGATTCAACTTGGTTATAAGAAGAAAACGAATATTTTCTGTTTGCAATTCTCTTATATTAAGTGTTTAATTTTCGTTCTGATCGAATGACCTTTTTATCCTTTAATTTTTGTCCCGTCAAGCTAATTTCTTCTCAATCAAACGATTTAAAATTACTCGTAGGCTTTCGGTTCTTCACTCCGTAGATACATTACCGTGTTATTGGAAGAAAATGTTATTTAATGTAGGAAATAAGATGAAACATGAAGGGGAAGAAAATCATATATCCGACTTAAACGAAACTTCCGATTCCTGCTGGCAGGGGGTGTGATGTGGATAAATGACGATGGAAAGAGAAGATTCTTTTTCGCAACCCAGCTATTTGTCACTCAGCTTCTATTGTCTGTCTTTTGGTTAAGTTCTTTTTTCCGTATCATAGTCTTTCTTTCTCCCTCAGGCAAAAACGAAAAATAACAGTAAATACATGTCATTTTATATATTTTTTTTCTTAGTGAAAGGAAAAATATATCCAGTCCAGTCGGATATGAAAAGACATGTTTTTATATCAGAGCTCGTTTAAGCTATATCATAAAAGTAGAGGGGAAAAAGTGAAAAGAATGAATTTAATGAATAATATAACTTAAAAATGCTGTGACAATAAGAAGAGGCATTACATAATAGGTTGCTTCTGAGGGGGATTACACGGCATTGTTTGAGTTTTAGCTAAGTCGTTTCCGTTGAATTCGTGTAATTTCGGGAAATTGTTCTAGCGCTGGATGCTCCAAACGACTCCTTGGAGACGAGGACGATGAAAGGAAAGAGGGGGGTGTCTAATTTATACTGGAACAACAGTGTAGCTCCCGTGAGAGTAACTGACGATTGTCCATCGACTGAGAAAGGTAATATGTCTTTTGTTTACTGACAAATAAAGAAAAGGTGCTGCTAGTTTTTATCTTCTTCGCAAATCTATTTGTTTCTTGTCTACTACCGAGAAATAAGCTTTAGCCATGATTGGTCTGTAAGCTCATTTAATCCTCTTTAACTTTCAATATTGACTAAATTGGGATTTCTTACACGAATTTCTTGCGCTTTTAATTGATCGACCACGTCGGATTTTAATGGCGTGGACGTGTTCCTCGTTTTTATTTATGAAAAATTTACGATTCCCTCGCATAACGTAAATTTCAAGGATGGGAGGGAATTGTGATTAGAACGAATGGGCGAGAGGAATTATTTAAAATTCCGTTTTTGCTGTAGAAAATCGCGACGTTTACGTATGCATTATATTATCCGAAATATCACGGGTATAAATTTTAAAGCCGTAAACAGGATTCAAAAGCGGCAGCAAAATGTCAAAAGTATCGAGTTTGTTTTCAGTTTATTTCCATGTGTATTGGACGGCGAAGATAGCCAGACCATGTACGAATGTTATAAAATAAATATTATCTGTCACCACGTTCACAATGCGTTACCATAGCGACTAGCGAATGAGCGTAAGAATGACACTGGCAGGTGTAGTGTGGTTGTGTTCGTCG